CATCGAGGCTGTTGGGGCGCAGCTGCAGGAGGCCCCTGCGGGCCCCCCGTCCTGCTGCCCCCGGGGCTGAGCTGGGGAACCGCCGCGCTCGCACAGGCCGCAGCCGGGGCTGGGGTGGTGGGCCCGGCATCCCCCTCTGCAGCCCTGCCGCTTCGCTGCCTGCCTGTAGGGTCTTGGCTGATGTTGGTCTGCTCCCTTTCTTCCAGACGCCCCTCAAGAAGACCAACGCTCTCATTGCGCAGATGGGAATAACCTTCCTGAACGCGGTGAGTGTTTACGTTTGCTCTTTGAACTTCGGATGCGTGTGCGCTTGTGTTGGTTGCGTTTTAGGCAACCTGAAATCTCAGAAACGGTTTTAGGAAGCCTGTATGTAGGTGCCTGAGCTTTCTTGAATTCAGTCTCTAACTCCTTGTGGTCTCAGAATGGGTGTATCTCAAGAGCATGTTTAGAACACGAGAGGGAAAGTTTCGTTTCCGAAAAGTATTCATGTGAACTTCCTGAAGCTGCAAAGTAAAACTGAATAATCTAGTATCTTTCTTACAAACTGAGCAGCATCGTAAGAAGCTGCTTAAACCTTTGGCTTCGTGCATGCTGAAAACCTGTGTTATGCTTTTCTTGTTCTGGTGTGTTGCTGTGGGTAAAATAGAGTTAATCTAGTGACAAAATGTTAATGGATACTTGCTACTGTATAAGAACCACGTCTAATCTGAAGGGTGGGAGGAGGCTGAATGGCATGTCCTGCAGAAACCTAAAACTAGTTTCACGTGTAGCTTTTCAGTAGTGAAAATGTTTGGGATGTGATTCTGAATGTCCAGAGTGCCTGGTGTTTCAAAGCTCTGCCTTTTGAGGAAAAATTGTTTTATACAATCAATCTTCTATCTTTTCATCCTCCGTTTCCAGTACGTTCCCAGTGCACTTTGCTGCCCCAGTCGAGCTAGCATTTTAACAGGAAAGTATCCACATAATCATCATGTTGTCAATAACACTCTGGAAGGCAACTGTAGCAGCAAGTTATGGCAGAAGATTCAAGAACCCCACACCTTTCCAGCACTGCTGAAAACTATGTGTGGTTATCAAACATTTTTTGCTGGAAAGTACTTGAATGAGGTATTTTTTACTTACTTTTCTACTGTGACACAGTTCATTTGCATTTGTCTACCTTTCTAAAACATTCTGTTATTTTTATATTTGTATATAATTTTATATATTATGGTGGGTTATATTGGCTTATGGTGGGTCCCCAAAATGGTTAAAATTGTATTACTTGGATTAACAGTTGTCTTTGCTGAGATGGGATAAATATGATGCAAAGTTAAAATCTTTAACTTAGCCTGCTTAGAATCAGGTTCTCTAGGTGCCTGAGCATTTTTAAAAGTTAATTTTGAAAGGATGATGGAATTCAAAGGCTTTTTTAGTATATTTAGATAGGTTGATTTTTAGGGATTATTATTTTAATGACTGAGGGAAATGGATTGGCACGTGGTATTGAAGAACACCATCAAGCCAGTGCCAGGCCAGGTGCAATGTACCCAAAACTTCAATATTGAATCACTTGTATGTGTATGCTTTTGGTTTTTTTCTGTATTTAACTAAGCTGCTGTTTTTCATAGTAGATGGAAAGCTGTAAAATTTAGCAGAAAGCTCTAACATCAAGTATTCCTCTTGTGCAATGGGAATTGTATTTGATGCCAGATGAGTTACAGAGTTCTTTACAGCGTTCTTTTCCTTGGATCTCTTGGTGGAAAGTGTTGCTGGTATAATAGAATAATGGAACATAGAATTTTCCTAGCCAGGCACAAATTTGTTTCTGCTGATGTTACTGAGGCAGCTAGGGAAAGGAAACTTATCTGTCTTACTCTGAGCTTCTCTTGACTCAGCATAGTCTTCTGTCCATGCAGTTAGGCGAGCCATGTAGATGGGAGAGGGTGGCCCTCAGAAGACCCATTGTGTTGATCTGAGACACTCTCTGTTTTGAGTTTGGCACTGATTCAGCAGCTGCTTTGCTTTTTATGTTGGCTTAAAGGCTAGTTGTTTTAGATTATTTGGCACTGAGGTGACAAGAGACTAGCATTGCTTAAAGTTCATATTCCCTTTTGAGGGAGGTTGATGGAGGCTGTTGGTCTATGCAGGATTTTCTTTAGTATCTTGTGAGCTGTTATCACAAACCCTCAAAGTATCTTATCCCTGTAGGTACTGTATGTTCTACAGGATCCCTGCATAGTTTCATGTACAGAGTAGAACAGGGAATAAAGTTTAAATTTTACTGATGAGTGCTAAGCTTTCAGTTACTGTCTTTCTGAGGTTGTTTATCCCTTATTTCTCTACCAGGCTACACATGTGTTTTTTATATGCATGTGTATTGTTTTTTCCATTCTGGAATTGAATTTGGTTTAATGCAATTTCTGACTAGTGTTGAATAAAGCACACAAATATGAAACGCAATTTCTAGCTTTTATTTATCATGTTTAAAACTGTGATGTGTGGTCTGTCTTTTTTCAGTACGGAGCAGAGGATGCAGGGGGAGTAGGTCATGTCCCTCCTGGTTGGAGTTTTTGGTATGCTTTGGTATGTAACCATTCTTTTTAAAAACACTTAGTTTGGGTTGTTTTGTAATCCAACTCATGTTCTGACTTGGCTGGTCATTAAAGAGCATCTAAGAACTTCATGCAAATTTTCATTCCTTTTTTCCTCTATCAGATCCTTGGCGTTGACAAATGCTACTCCTCCTAAAGTGCCTTGGGAAAAACCCCTACTTGTAAAGCCAAAGCAGTGTGAGATAGCATTAAAATGAGTTTGATTGTTGAGTAGCAGTTTTGAGAATTCTTGCAGTATCCTTAAGACAAATGCGTATAACCTATTTGACAAATGTTTGATGGCAGTTCATTTTTATTATTTGAAGTAATCAGTGTATGTGTTACTTTGTATAAATAAGCCCATGACTTTTCTTTTTCACAGGAGAAAAATTCAAAGTACTACAACTACACCCTGTCAGTAAATGGCAAGGCACGAAGGCATGGTGAGAACTACAGTGTAGATTATCTGACAGATGTACTGGTAAGAAAATTTGCAGCATCTGTGTTACAGAACGCTTATGGCTTCATGCTGGGGATGTGGGAAAGGGTGGGGATGATAATTTCCTAGGCTGCATTTGTTCATAAATATGTGATCGTGCTGTCATGATGGTGGGTGGGCATTAATCAGCAGAGTGAGATTCTGGGTATGTTTAGAAATGACAGGTTTGTGCATATGAGCTGTAGGAAAAAAAAAAAGGGGTTCCAGCTGCCCAGTTGCAAGCCAAGAGCCTCACAGAGAGGTTAAGAGTGACTGCTGTGTGCATGAGGAACACGATGCTTATAGGCAGCAGGTTAAATGCTTCATAGAAGGATGTTTCATTACAATACACAGCTTGTGTAACAGGTTAACTGGGCCAAGATTTTAGTGGGAAGTTAAGTGTGTAAAAATAATTTTACACCTTATTTTGTTTGCTAGATATTATGATGCAACAGTATCTTGTAATCTCTTAACTAGTCACACTGATAACTTGGAAATGTCAAAGGCCAAATGATGCTCCATGGTGTGCAAGGGTACTTTATAGGTTGTGCCAAAATGTGTAGCTGACCAGGGGAGTCCTTAGCCTCTTTACCCTCTTAAGGGCAAGAGAGGCAACAAAGGTATCAAATACTTTAAGGAAAGTTGGAAGAGCTCTCTCAAGGCCCTTTATAGCAAGTAGTATTAGCTTGGAGGGTTTTTTGGGGGGGAAGGGAGGTGTGTTCCCCTCACCTGCCAAGCTGGAGTCTTATTTTGGTATGCTGATACAGTGTATGAGTTGGTAGTGCTGGGAGCTCACATGGCAGCACTTGGGAAAATTCTTCTGAGAAGTCCCCTCGTGCAGTTGATTTGCAGTCTTCCATTGAGAACCTAATGAATTTCATTCCAGTGGGTCCTTGAGCAGAGACAGCTGCTGATTAGGAACAGAACTGATTGATGTTTCTAAGGGTATTGAACAGCTGTCTGATTAAATTTAGATTTACACTGTCTAAAGCTAGATTTGAATTGATAAGCCAGCAGTGAGACTATCTTGTTACTGGCTTTGTACCAGTCTTTTCTGATCCTTCAGCAGCTTGTAAGCATTTTGACCTATCAGTTGCTGCTGCATGGACCTCTTGCTTGTGATGTGTTACTTATTGGTACAGCAGTGCATTATGATTTGTTGCATTCTACCTTCTGCCTGTAGTTTCCAAACATGTATTCAGCATTTCAGAGCAGGTACTTGAGTTTAATTCACTTGATGGGCAGTGCACAACATGCCTGCACTACCAAACGTGTAGTAATGGAGAACCACCAGGAACAGGAGTAAATTGCTTATGCAAAGTTCCTGTGTTGCCTGGAGGGATCCACAAGCTTTCTTGAAGTGACTACTTAAGCCCGGTATTAATCTGAACATCTGTCTACTGCAGTCCTGACATGCTGGAGTTTAAGTACCAAACAAAAGTTTAAGTGGCTACCTCTGTGAGTTTACCTGCATCATACTGGTTTCCAAACAAGGTTTTGAATTTCACACTGTTCTTAAGCTCCGTAACTGTTGTCATTTAACTGGAGTCCAGCCCTACCTGCTTAGAGGAGGAAAGAAGAGTAGGGACTTCCTAGTGTATTGTTTCTTACAGAGAAAGAAGGATATCCAAAAAGGGGTATACTAATCAATTAGGAAAGGAAAATGTTGCAAGGTTTGAATAGCGAAGGACTCCTCTGTGAGTAATACCATTGAATCTTGAAATTCAAAGGCTGACTAAGGGAAGGCCAAAATGGAACTCGCTGCTTGAAATGGTGTATTTGCTGTAATGAAAATGAAAGTGCAGTGAAGTGGTGTGAGTTTGGCAGCCTCCTTCCCTAGAGCTTCTTGACATCTAGCCTCTTGCTTCTTTCACAAGCAGAAGTGTGAGATCCCTTAGAAACTAGAAATGTGCTACAGAATGAACCTACACTATAAACAGTGGGGCTGAAAAACTTTTTCAGAACTGTTGCTATTTCTGAAGACAATGGAAACTGTTAAACTGGGATATGTCAGGCAGGAGATAGCATCTGAGAGCCTCAAAAAGATGCAGTTAAGAGAAGCCCCAGTTTTACTTGATGAAAGCAGGGTTTATGTGGATTTTTGTTGATACTTAGAATAAGCACAAAGTCTTTTTGAGCTTTCTGGGTCTAAATAGTGCAAAGGTCTGGAGTAGAAAGGTGTTCAGAGACGTGAGACAAATTATTTGTTTAAGGTGTACATTGTTGTTTTTTTAATCATGAGCTGCTGTTCTGGACACTTGTAGATGAGCAAGCAATACATTTCTGAAATTGTTTAAGTTGTTTAAATGTTCCCAGTACTACTGAGCTCTAAGTTATGAATGTCTAGGTTGGATTTTTCAAATACTTGCTGTTTTCCTTTGGAGGTATGACTTTTCTTCTCCAACAAAACTGTTCACAGGCCAACATGTCATTGGACTTCTTGGAGTATAAATCTAATTTCGAACCTTTCTTTATGATGGTCTCAACCCCAGCACCGCACTCCCCTTGGACAGCTGCCCCACAGTACACAAAGAGCTTTCAGAATGTCAGTGCACCAAGAAACAGCAATTTTAATATTCATGGAAAGGTAAGCTAACTAGCAAGAATCTGCATAGATGATTTTACTAGCTGGTGAGAGCAGTAGGCAATAACCCTGAGTTGCATTGTAAGTTTAAATGATGAGAATAGGCTTAATACCATGGTCGCTGTTATTTAGTTACATTAACAGCCTTCCAGGATAAGGAATGTTTATTGTGACTTTGAGGTCTTTGCATACCACTATCTTGTAAATGAATAAAAAAAAGTAGTGGCAAAAATGATAAGGCTGTACAATGGCATTATGCTTGATAACTGGAAAAAAGTTATTCCCGTGTCCTATTTGCAGACTGTTCTGAAGCTCTTAAAATGTTCTTTTGTTGCTGTCAGTATGTTTAAGAGAAAACATAGGTGCTGTGCAGCACAAAGACTCAGATGAAGAATTAAGAGAGCCCTATCTTCCTGTGTCCATCTGCTGGTCTGGGTGGGTGGTCCATTACTTGAGCTTCTGGCAAAATATAGGTGATGAGCATCTCGACCTAGCCAGAGGACTTAATGAAATAATTAATCACAGGGTCCAGGGCCACTAAGGACTTCCCTTTTATTTGTTGAAATAGCCTGTAGTCAGAATTGCTGAGTCTAATGTTACAAACTCAGATGTCCTTGTGACAAGGCAGTCCCTTCTGCTGCCAGTAAACTTGGCCAAATATGGGCTAACTCAGACTAATCCGCTGCTGCTTACTCTGCCAATAAGTGAAAGTCACAAACAGTTAATCTGGTGAGGTATTTCACTCATGGAGGCTTTGTATTTTTTATTCAATTAGTTTAAAATACAGAAGTCTCTCTTGTTCCATGTTCAGCTGATTCACTTGAAGATTTGCCCCCAGTCTTAAGAAATACCGTTGCCTGAATGCCTATCTGGAGCCCAGTGACCCCTCTTCAAAGGTCACTGTGACTCATGTAGTACAGAGTGAAACTTGTTTTTTAGCTGAGGATTGTAGCTTGCAAAATAACTGTGTGCTTATCGGTGTGATAGAAAAACATGAATGAAAGAGGAGAAAAGAACTGCAGGCAGTAGCAAGTACTTTAGCCCAACCTGTTAAGTTTTGAACTAGGGAATGGAAATCAGACTTTCTGTTTCTCCATGAAAGGATCCCTAACTTTGTCTTAGACTCCATTACTGTAATAACTGAATGCTTTGAAAATAGTGAGCCAGAAAGAGCTTGACCAGCAAAGTCAGCAGCTTGCCAAAAAATACAATGTGGGAGTTCCCTTGTGTAAAGCAAAAGCTCTGCATGTGTCTGTGGTAATACAGGACAAAATAACAGACTAACTTAATGTTTGGTAGTTAGTATCTGCGGATATAGCAGTTTTACTAGGTTTCACAATAGGACCAGGCTAGTATTACCCTTCTTCCCAGACACAAAATAGCTATGATCATTGAGAGTGTGTGTTTCTGTAACTGCCAGTGTTGCGGTCTTGAAGCCTAACTCTTCTTTCAGCTTCACTGTTGTCTAGGGTAAGCACAATTCCTGCAGTGGCAATGAACACGTACGTAAGCTCAGCCCCTCCAGTCATTGATGTTGTAACACTTGCTAGACAGTTTTGCATTGTATAGTCTTGAGTCCTAAATTAATGCTGCCTCACTTCCTTATGCAGTATGTGGGCAAGGGACACTAAAAGGGGCCATCTAAGAAGAATCTGCATGAAAAAATAGGAGTTAAGCTGTTGTCAGACTCTGGTCAGTGATGCACACTTTAACTTTCACTTAGGATCCTCAGCTATGAACTATATCAAGTGATGGGCAGCTGTCTGGTTTTCCAAGCAGGACTGTTGGTAGGCCAGATCAGTGGTTTGTCTAAGCAGTACTGAGAGAGAAGCTGATTAAGAAACGTGTTGGGTATTTCTCTTGCATGCATTGTTTTTCCTGCAAAATCAGAGCACAACTGTGTTCAAATTCTGCTGGTAAGATATGGTATGTCTCAGGATATCCTAAGATTTCTTTGAGAATGGGATGGACAGCTTCGTATGTAACTGATGAAAGAGACTTGACAGGGACTTAAAGGGAAGCAGATTTGAGGAGCCTGAGTCAGATGTGAAGTTTGAAATACACAAAGGTGTTTAGGTGCTGTGTGAAGTTTTTTAAACTTCAGATAAAGGTAGGAAGAATAAAATACTCCAAAAAAGAGGAAGGTTCTACTGCAGTAGCTGACTTACCTACCGGAGTTACTCAGTGAGGTTGTGCCTTATGGAAGGCTTCTCCTGAGTCCCCCTCTTGTGAAAGGTTGCTGGTGCACAGGAGATGCTATCAACTCCTTCATTCTCTGACAAACTTCAACTGACCTGGGGATGGGGTTTGTAATGTTATTTCTTACTTTTTCCTCTCACAACCAACAACCATCAAGTCTGTGTTCAGTCTTGATGCTGTGTATTTTTGTTGAGATAGGCTTAGTGTCTCTCCAGAGAATTGCTTTACAACTACTATGAAAGAGAGAACTGAATGCAACAAATTAAAAGAAGCTGCACGTGGTATTAAGTCTCCATGTCAAAAATCTGTCCTTCAGTCTGCAAGAACAGGAGAAAGAGGGAACTGGGTTGCAGGAGATCTGAGTCACTTCATTGTGCGTCCCTAAAGCCTGAGCACGTTCAGAGTAATTTGCTCATGACAGGACAGAAATTGCATAAGGAGAGGCTGTATGGAGAGGAGTGACCAGCTAAATACAGGCTCAAGCTGAGGGTGGTGAGCAGTCATCTCTGACCTACTAAAAGTGTAAAGCTGCGTTGACATTACTTTCTCCTTTATTCTGCTCCCCACTAATACTGCCCTTCAGGTTGCTCACAACAGACCTTCCCAGGGATTTGTACAGCAGCTGACCCGGGTCAGGCTGGTGCTTCACAATGTGGGAGTATCAGGAGTATCACTTCTCATATGAGTTAATTTATCAGTTACATTGGGAGGATTGGTGAGGAGAGAAATGGAGGAACTGTTTCTGAAAACTGGGGACATGGCTAGAAGAATCAGTAACACTTCCGCTAAAAAAATGCTCTTGTTTTGGAGTAAAAAAAAATAAAAATAAAATGGTAATGTTTCTGTTCCCCTCAATAGTGTCTAGTGCTGACTTCATGTGTTACCAGGAATCTGATAGTGGTACCATTACAGATCTTTGTCCTCACCTGTCCCTAAATTAGGTAGTCATAATTGCTTTTGATGGAGGAGTTTCTCCCCAGCTGTTAGGATAGACACCAATCTTAGTCTGAAAATAACTTCACTTTGCCAACAAAGTCCACACAATGCTGCTCAGTCCTTCAATTTTTTTTTCATCAGACTTCTTTCTGGGAGAGCTTTCCCAAGCTCCTTTCACTATTTTTTTTTTTCCCTGAATTGCTTTGAAAAGATCCATAGCTATTTTCTTCTCACAAAGGGATGAGCATAATGGAGCTGTAATATATTCCACTCTTGCAACTTAGATTTTCCATTAACCAAGAGGGAAACTTGGAGTCAGGTCAGTTTGATAGCATTGTCTGGCTGTTTCACAGGAATTGTGTATGTTTTACCCTAAACAACATTTCTGTTGTAATTGGTCTAAGAAGGGTTTAAGGGTTGGTACTTCTCTCCTACACACAAATGTTTTTGTTTGTTGTTTTTTTACTTACTTTAGAACAAGCACTGGTTAATTCGGCAAGCAAAGACTCCAATGACTAACTCTTCAATACAGTTTCTTGATGATGCTTATAGAAAGAGGTAAGAATTTTTTTTGTTGCTTAAGATTTCTACTCATGACTTCTAATGTTTTTGTTTTGTTTCTTTTTTTTTAAAGAGAAGTAGTATTTTTTTTAAGGGTTGAAATAAGTCAGGCAAGAGATGTCTAATTACCTGGAATAGTTCATCTGTCTTGGCAAACCTGACTTTCTGTTTACTTTTTGCAAAGAAATTTGTCATTGACTTCAGAAATGTTTTGCCCCAAATGCTGCCATCCTTTATCATAAAAGACACCAGTCATGTTCGGTGTCTCTACTGTTTCTCTTTCAGTGCACAACAGTTTTTCTTTAAAAAGAAAGCAGTCACTTGTCTCAGCAGCAAACCCCATGACAAAGGAAAGAATAACTTGTAGGTGTTAAAGGCTTTAGATACATTGCAATAATGGACCCTGATATTACATGAGTAATACAAAACAGCTAATGTAGTTTTCAAGCAGAAAAGATCCTATAGAGACAATTAAATTAATGGCAATTTTGTATTTTAATATTAAAAACTGCATATAAAGAACTAATAACAAGCAAGCTTGCAGGAGATAACCCTGACTCTTTGCCACTGTGTTGCTTCAGAGTTGCTCTTGACTGTCTCCAGATAAGAGCTAATCGGTGTTTTGACGTCTTCCTCAAAATGCAATCAACAAGAACTGAAGACAAACAGCCTATTTCTATCTTAAATTGCAGCCTCAGAGTACAGTGTAGTAATCAATGAAGGTTACTTTCAGAAAATCTGCAAGCAAAACAATCTACTTACAGTGCATATGCGGTTGACTTGAAGCAGAATACAAATGTCCTACCTGCAATCAGAATTATTCTAAATTTTTCATACTCTAAAATTAATTACTTTACCTGTATAGGTGGCAAACTCTACTGTCAGTAGATGACCTGGTAGAGAAACTGGTGAAGAAACTGGAACTGAATGGAGAATTGGACAACACTTACATCTTTTACACATCAGACAATGGCTTCCACACTGGTAACATATTCACTGCTTACTGAACTTTTGTAGAAAATCCAGGAGTCACATAGTATTTCACTCTTGTGACCACTCTAGAAAATGGAAAGAGCAGCTGTGGAAAACTGTAGACATGAGAAGTACTGATTGAAGTTGCAAAGTAATCTGAAGTTGCAGTGTGGGCTGCTTGGGGATTTTATGTTTATTTTTTATTTGGTTGGGGGTTTTAGCATTAATCTCTACCACTGTATCCTGGTACACATAAAATTAGGACAGGAATGGAAGAAGGGTCTCTATTGTGGAGGAAGAGTTGCCATGAGAGATAACCAGTAAAGACCTGTCTGTATCATGTTGTACAGCTAAAAATGCAGTATCTAAGCTGTTAAACTTTGTAAGGTACAGCTTATACGATTCCTACCCTCCTCTTTGTTAATGTAGTTAAGAACCTTTTTCTGACTTCTTAAAATTGGCTGCTGGGAAATTATGTAACACAAGACTCCTAAAACTTAAAACCAGAAACCACTTAACTTTTTCCATTTTCTATTGTATAGGCCAGTTTTCTTTGCCAATAGACAAACGGCAGCTCTATGAGTTTGATATCAAAGTTCCATTGCTAGTTCGAGGACCAGGGATAAAACCAAATCAGACAAACAAGGTAAGAAAGAAGTGAAATAAGAGAGTGGGTGTACTTTTAATATTGCTTCAGTTATCAACTTTAGGTAATAATTTATCCTCCTGCAGATATATATATATCAATGAAACAAAATATATGCCATGGTAGAAAGTGCCAAGACCTCATTCTGAAAAGCTGCTCTTGCTTGAATCAGTAAGTTTAAATAAATTGCAGGCTACAAAAGGAAATGAAGTGTGACTTTCCAAAGACCCTACCATTACTTGTGGATGTTACAGGGTCTGTTGCAAAGATGAATTAAGTAGTGTTGTGGTGTACCTAAAATTACAAGTACTTAAAATACAGAAGTCTCATTATTACATCTGTTAGATTCTGATCTTCTGAAGTAAGTTTTCCTCACCCTGCAGATGCTTGTTGCAAATATTGATTTGGGTCCCACTATTCTGGATATCGCGGGGTATGACTTGAATAAGACCCAGATGGATGGGATGTCACTGTTGCCACTGTTGGTAAGTACATGGACAGGGATCGTAACTGGTAATTCTTGCAGGGGTTATTTTTCAAAGTGAATGCCACTTCCTTTGATAGACAGAGTCAACTCATAACCCGCACTCTTTCCTTGATGTCATTTTCGCATGGGATGTTACTGAAAAAAGTAGGTGTCTTGCTTAAATGCAGATACATTTTCATAAGCCCCACAACTTGGTGGCTGTTTAGTAAGCTTTTTTGTGTGTGTGATTCTTCAGCTAATCCTGCGTCTTTTTTGTAATAATTCCTGTTTCAAAGGCTGAATATTGTTTCCGCCTTGCATCCTTCATCTCCTGAGGATTTCTCAGCATAGACATAGGAGAAAAGCAGACCTGAATCTTTGGTTTGCATCAGTTTTCAGTTCGGTGTTTCCCCCTAAACTTGGGAAAAGTGCATGTGGTTTCATAAAGTAAACCTCACCTTTGCAATAGGTGATCAGAATAAAGCTGCTTGCAGTTGATCCTTTTATTTTTAATTAAATTCAGTCTCTAAATTGAAGGCAGCTTACTTGGAAATGTAGGAGGTCATCCAGATTTAAAGCAGATTTTAGTGCTTTGCTTTTAACACCTTGTATCCAAACCTTAAGCTGTTCTCTAGGCAGAAGCAAGGAAAAAGCATCTAGTTTAAATTCTAATGGAATCAAAACTGGGAAACATTGTTTTGTTGTATATGGAAAAGGGATCTTGTCTGTAGCGTGGTAATTTCTGGCCATGTGGCTCCTATTTGGTATTACTGCATTATTCTTATTTATAAATGGAAGATAATATTTTAAACCCTCACAAGAAGGTATAGTAATGGTGTTTGAAGTTGGATCCTTGTCTGCCAGTTACACAAGACATTCTAACCTAAGGCTAAATATTATTTGAAGATTGACTCAAACTAGTCAGACCACGACTCAAACTGCCTTGTAAGCAGTGAGCAGTGTTAGTGTTACACCACGGATGGAGAATTTCTCCTGTTTCATGATGTAGTGGATACTAAGTCATGTTAACCTCTTCTAGAGAGGAGACAAAAATGTGACGTGGAGGTCAGACTTCTTGGTGGAGTATCAAGGAGAAGGATACAATGGCAGTGATCCGGCCTGTCCTGGCCTAGGACCTGGAGTCACGGTAAGCAAGGCACGATCTACTGATATTAGAAAATAGCTGCTGAATTAAATCTGTTTGTGTTATAGACTAACCTGGTGTTCTATAAGTAAGCTCCCAGTGTCTTGGTAAGTAGGAGCTAGTTCTGCAGGTCCTGTGCAGCATTTAAGAATCTAAGAGACATCCAGCCATGTGAAACTGCTATGTCCATGTGATAGTACAGAACACAGTCGCCCTTTCAAGTGGGAATCTACAGGGCCTCAGGGCTGGAGAAATACAGAGGAAGGTGTGAGCTTGGCAAAGTGGGTGGCAGTGACATGTTTTTCTAAACTTCCAGCGATCTTGTCACATGATTCTTACCTGTGACCATTAGTTAAGTCACTACTTCCCTAATCAAAGGAGGTTTGCTCTAAGTAAAGCATCCCTTTGGCATTGTCTTCAGTAATGTGTGTTGTGCTGATCTCTTCAGTGTGTATATATTAGCTTCCCAGACGGAAATCATGGTGATTTTAGTAACAACACAGTCTCAAAGTAAGAAGAGCTCAGTTTTTGCTTAAAATCCCCAGTGCAGAGTTGTGTGTGTTAGACTCGGATCCTGGTGTTCACCAGTTAACTGCAGTTTTCTTGAGCTGGTATAGACTTCAGGGAGAGAATTTCTAGTTCATCTTTTTTTCCTGCTTTGAAGTTTGTGTTCACTGCTTACTTCACAGCACTGCTTCCCAGACTGTGTCTGTGAAGATTCCTATAACAACACATATGCTTGTGTAAGGACGCTGTCAGCTTCCTGGGACCTGCAGTACTGTGAATTTGATGACCGGGAGGTAAGTTTCTGTCCAACTAGCAAATATCAACTGTTCACAACTGCCTGAGCAACTGTCTGCACTCTTTCTTATCTGCTCCCAAGGTTTCGATAAAGTACTCTGAAAAGCAGACTAGCATTGCTCACAGGATAAACAGTGAAGTATTTATCAACTGGTGGGAGTGTTTAACCAAAACTCTCGTGGGGTTCTGGGAAGGGAAAAAAAAAGGGATGGGAATGGGAAGGGAGTGAGGAAGGAACAGTAGCCTAAACTATGATTATTGCCTTTGGGTATCACCTGACAGCCTCATGGGGAGCTGTGCTGGGTTCAGTTCTCTGTCCTACCCTGATTCCCTGTGGCAGTCTTCTGTACCACAGATACTTTCTGCTACTCTGTATCTCTGCTGTTCTTAGGTTCAGCTGTGACTCCTTTTCCTTGGGAAGAACAGAAATCCTGGACTATTTCTCTTCTATTGCTTACTTGTTTGCTGGGCAAAACAAACGTTTAAGTTACAATTGTGAGAAATGCTTCTAACCTGGGTATTAAGGGACATAATGTCCCCCCTTCAGAAACTGTTCATATCTCACCAGTGGAGCACTTGCTGTATGAGCAAAACTTGGTGCTCTGCTTTCTAATAACTTATGATGAAGTTAAATGCAGCTTTCTTTGTAAAAGTAGGCTCCAAAGTTAATTTGAGCATACACTTTGTGTCAGTTTTGTCAGTAAGGATGTATGGCTGCAACGCTTTGGGTAACTCTACTCACCTGGGTCAGCTAAACTAAGAGTAACAGTATTGGGAAGATGCAGCAATGTGGCTTTTAAAACCTTGCAGTGAACCTTAAAAGAAAACTTGCAACCAAAGTCTGTTCAGGCGCATCTTTATCTAATTTAGACACAACCCAACCAGTTTTAATCATCATCATCTGCAGCCAGGCCTGCTATTCTAGCACAGACAAAACCTCAGGTGAATTCTTGTGATAGGTTTGACTAGTATTTATGCCACAGAATGGTGTAGAGATTTGATCTACCAAAACACAAATCTGCCCTGGAATCCTCCATTAATAAAAAGACAGGCAGCTTAGCCACAGTGTCTTCCTGTGATCTTACAGTCATAAGACAAGTTTCATTTATATGGTAGAAAAAATCTGCAGTGTAGCAGGTGAATACTTTAGGCAGAAGTAAAAGCCTTTCCAACTGGTGGCAAAACCTTGGCTTTATCTACATGCTGTCCAGGCTTTGACCACTTACGTGGCTGAACACAGCTTACGTGTGGGGATGCTGCAGTGTAGCTGAAAGTTACATTTCAGGCTATATGCTACCATAAAGTGATAATTAGCATTTAAGACTTAATACAGTGCAGGAATTTTCTTCTGCAGGTGTTTGTGGAAGTATATAATTTGACTGCAGATCCGCACCAGATCAATAACATCGCTAAAACGATTGATCAAGAAATTCTGGAGAAGATGAACTATCGACTGATGATGCTGCAGTCCTGTTCGGGCGCTACCTGCCGCACACCAGGTGTCTTCGATCCTGGGTAAACACTGCTTCAATTCATTGTCACAATACTTCTAAATATAACCATTTTTTAAATTGAGCTTCTATAGAGGGTGTTTATAATGGAATATCATATTACTGACATGCTGTTGTATAATAGAGGTGCTTTCTTGATTCTACTTCTTTACGTTAAATCTCTTTTAATTTGCCTACCAAATATAACTTGATGGTATCAATGCTACTACTCTAAGTCTCATCAGCCATTGCTGACTTAGAATAGCTGAACCTCACAGCAATGCTGAGTATCCACAGACAAGGGGCCTCAGGTTTGCCTGCAAACAAGGAAGAGGTCTGCAGGTTTCTGTATGTAGGTATTTCCCAAATACTCGATCTGTTTGTTCCTGGAGATATTGTTAATAGAATCATAGCAAAGAATGTTTCCTGCAGGACCTAAGTAGAATGTATTAGCCAGCTATTGTAGGCAAACGGCGATTCTTATCTCAAAATTCAGCTATGATTATTTGGACTGAAGCTGGTTTTAAGCACTGTTTAAAATGCCCTTACAGGTGTGCTAATTCAGTTTGTAATTTGAGGCAGCAAAGCTTTCTGTTAGAAATGCATCTCTCGAACACTTAGTGTCACACATGCCAATATGCAGTTGGTGTCTTGCAGCTGTATTTATTTCCTTGGAGTCTGTCAGCTCCTTAATTGCATGGTTATAATTAATTAATCTGTTGTAATGTGTAGGGGGATTGTCCTTACTGCATACTGTTAAGAAAGCGGCTAGTGATGTAGCCTTGTACCAGAGCTATTCTAGAAATGAGCTGTTTCCAGAAGCAGTGGTCACTGTGGGCTGGCTGTAACTGACACAGACTCTCTTCCTCCCTTTAGGTACAAGTTTGACCCACGGCTCATGTTCAACAACCACGGCGTTCGGGCTCGGAGGTTTTCTGCACAGTCCTTGTAAGGCACTTAAGAGCCTCTTGCAATCAGCTCCCACTGACCAGTTTCTCCAGTGACTGCAGGTCTGTCTCTGTAACTCTTGCTGATCACAGCTGGAAGACTTCATGGGCTTTTCAAATCCTGTTTGGAAGAAAACCCCTTGTCTTTAGCTGGTTGCCTTGTGCAATATGTGTATTTTACAGCTGAACTGTAACTGAATCGTTAGACACAGCTAATCTGTCTTGCTCAGATAGTTGATTACCACCTTTGTCTTTCAAGTACCTTTTCATATCACAGACACAGAGGTGAACCTATGCCTATGAATCTGAACAGTTTATTTTGTTCTAAAAATCAATAAATGTGTATTTGGGTCGGGTTAGATGGGCAGGTGCTATTGCACAGTAATGCTCACCCATATTCAGTGTCAGAGTGTCATTTCTTAAAAAGCATAATGTTTAAGTATAGGTTTCCTGTATCAAGCTCAAAGTTGTTAATAACAATAGCAAACTAGCCCAGAATAGTGCAGGAAGGCATAATCAAAACTGTAGGATCTGACTAGCAAGTGTCTTGTGCAGAATTAAAATCCACATGCTAAATATTCTCCTTCAACAAGATCACTTCAAATGAGACCAATGGATTTTGTAGGACAGCTTTGGTAGCTTGCAAACAAGAACGTAAGGTCACAACCTCCTCCTAGTTTGAAAGGCTGGAATGGGTTACTACATACTACTGAAAAAACTCCTAGGAGTTTAATATAGGCTTCCTAGTGAGTTAAACAAGAGTATTGAGACTAACAAATATTCAGAAAAGTGTGCCTGTGTTATGAGCTAACTTCTAAGTCTATTCTAATACATGAACAGAAGTAATACTAAAAACAATACCTAAAAAACCTGAAAAACCCGCCAGGGCACCACAGTAGAGTTGATCTGTCTCTAAGCTCCAGATGTCTTGAATTGTGTAACATCTTACATTTATTAGATATTTTGAAGGTAAGTCACTTTGAGAGCAAACTAGCAAAAAATAAGTAAATGATTGCTCACTAGAAGTTAGGTTAGGAGGGCTGTTTTAGGCAGTTTAAGTGCTTCTTAGAGTGTTGCTTTTTGGTTGAGACATAACTACTCAGAGCCTGCAGTAAGTGGCCTTCACACCAAAGGACTGTGTCAGATGTCTGGCTGCAGTACCTTATCACTTGGTTTCCCTTTGGAAGGGTGATGTTGTCTTTTCAACCTTCTGATTAGGCTTATCTGAATTGTACCTATCACTTGCACCCAAACTTCTTTCTAAATCTTTAAAGATACCAAAGCTATGCTTGCTAACCCAAGTTAGCATATAACTTCTGTATAGCTTCATTGGCAAAACATTCTAGAAACGCTGAATTGTGTATCTCTTGCAAGACAAGTTCATGTTGCTCGTGGGCAAATAAACAGTGTTATCTGGCAAGATATTTGGTCCCTTGTCAAACAAACTCTGGCACAACTATTTAGTTTTCAGTTAGTTATTTCAGATCTTTTACCCAAATAGAGAGCATGATGATGTCAACTTCTGTGTCATAAAACCTTCAAGTAATCATTAAGTAGGCAAGAAAGTATGGCTGGTTCAAAACTGTGAAGGTGCCTCAGGGCACAGATCCAAGCAATGCTACAGTGAGATCAGTGGAACCTTCTCAGCTTTTCATTCTGAAGCACTGAAGTTGTCCTTCATGTAGCTTAGAGTTGCAAACTCCTGTGGCAGGCTATAGGTTAGATTTTACAGACCTTTTTGTATCAATTCTCATCTCACCCATGGTTTCAAGTCTCTGGAATGACCAAATATTTGGAGGAAAAAAAAAAATCACTTGAGAGGTAACTTTTCAGCCGCAGCATCTGTATAAATGCAGAGGGTTTTAGATATTCAGACTACTTACATGCTTTCAGATACTCAGGACTTATTTTTTTCCTCCACTAAAACTGTAGCTTTATCCTGTTTTATTTTGTTGGGGTTTTTTTGTTTGTGTCTTAAGCCTTAGTATTGCCTGTCAACATCCTCAAGGCTCTGTTTTGTCTTTAAAAACAAAACCAAAGTTGTTTTCAAGCTCTCAAGCGTTTTTGTGCACACTGAGCTAAACCTGAAGTTCATTTATGTAGCGTTTTGCTCTGATAATGTTAGCAACTTAGACTTGTTCTTTGTACAAAATTTATTTTGGTAGCTGTGTTGGAGGCTAGTGTGAAATATATTGATTGCTGCACGTTAAATCCTTAACAGTTCTATCGAATCCAGGCCATATGTCAGGTTTTACTTGAGCTGTTTCTGTGCAAGTAACATGCGTTATGTGGCTGCTTCATAGAAAAAAACAAGCAACTGTTATGGGTACAGATGGTACACTGTCTTTTCTTAAAGTGATCTGGAGCCATAACAAGGAAATTATCTTTTGAATTATTTACTTCTTGCCTCATAACAAATATGAAAGTTGACAGAACTGATAGAGATTGTTCAGTATGTGTGACCAGATGTTTTACTCCAATTAACACTTCTGTAAAGCATTTTGTAACTAGGCTCAATAACTTAGTTGCTGTCAGAGAACCACACTATACCTGAAATCTGTCATAGGTAGTAAATGTTGTTTTAAATTGAAATTCAGAATGAAATTAGTCCTAAATTAATCAGAATAGGGGTTCAGGAAAATACCTGCTTCACTCGCACTTTTGGTAAAGACTTAAGAGCTGATCAGCAAAAGCATGTAGTTGAAAGAAGAAAAGGAACCAACAGCTGCCTGCCTTCCACTGCTTTTAGAGGAGTTTGTTGTCACTTGTCTGGTGACTTTTCCATGAAACAGTTAATTTTGAGAATTTTTACAGTTTTGAATGAACAGTGTTAATTCTTATCCTTGATGATTAAAAAAAAACAGAATGAAGGACCTTTGATTCTTACCCACAGCTAATTCCCAACTAAGTGATTTTAAAACTAAATAGTCTTCATGGATATTTCATTTCATACGCCATATAACTGTGGCTGTACATATACCTTGCCATTTAAGGCATTTGTGTGAAATGAAAGGGCCTTACCAGTACAGAGTTGAGTTTAAGTAAAATGTGATTTTTATTTCTTATTTTAAAAGTATTATCAAAAACAGAGCTGTGAATTTTAATTATCTAATCTGGTAAAGTAAATACCATACAGGGAGAAACAAAATTAAAACTTGATTACATTATCCTAAACCAAAAACCACTCAGTATCATCACTTCAGCATAAATTAATACAGCTATTACCTGCTTACCCAGCACTGGGCTGCTTCATTTTGAGGAATAAAACTGTAACAGGGACACATAATATGCAAACACACACCCAAAGCAGGTATGATACCTTTTCAATTTAAGGTTGATTCTACAAGATAAATATATTTCATCATAATGAGACAACTGTCATTTATTGTGATTCAATTAAAATGAATTTGATTTGTATTTCTCTCTCTCTGTATGTGAGCATACTTTGCTGTAGCATGTTTTGAGCGTACTTAACTTCTGCTGTTCTGAACATTGGTTTAGAAAGTGCCCTTCCAGAGGACCCTGTTCACTGCTGCACTTTTGGGGAAAGAAAAAAATAAACTGCCTATCAAACTTCCCATCTTTCTGTTACTGAACTTCTGTTAAACCTTTCCACAGGATCAAGCTGTATGGCTGGGTCACGCTTCTGTTCTGCTTATTTGCCCTACTACCTAACAGTGCCCACTGTGGAACCTTTATATGGTCACAGGGAACCTTACATACAGCTTCTAGCAAGACAAGACATGGCTTCTTTGCACCAGGAAGAAGCACTGAGGGGAAAGAATAAGTGTATATGCAAGGTCTACTTGGTCAAATTTCCCTGGAAGCTGATATAGTTGAACAGATGGAAAACTTGAACAAAAAAGACAGTGGAGAAACTGCTGTTTGTTATTAAAAGCAGTGTGTTCTGCCTCTGGGAAAGAGGAAGAATAAAATCCTACATAAGACTTTTTCCAACAGGGGAACTGTGAGCAACAGTAAGATATGGGCTACTTACTCACCTCAATCCTTGTTACAGAGTTGAATTCCTTGGATTAGTCTGTGTAACTGTTTAAAAATACGTAACTCTTTTCTGAACAATAGACAAAGGTGATTTGGCACATTTAACCTACTTAAATCTGAGGCTTTCACAAGCTTCTAAGACAAGTGTTTCTGCATTCTATTTTCATTTCTGCTTAACCACATAGCATCAGTTTCATTTCTTCTTCAGTGATGTAGCAATCTTCCAAATTTACAGCTGCTTGAAACAATGCTGCTCTTTCTTTTGATCCTCCAGCTTAGGAAAACTATAAAATCTACTGTAGCACCACAAGAAAAGGCAGCTCTGTGTTACCTAGATACACCTTCCCATCATGCTCAAAGACATCACTGACAGCCCAAGTGATGCTGCCATCAGGGTCATGGAAGCTTGCCACAATATCTCCTTTGTCATTAATCTCTAAGAACAAGCCATGTTTGCGAAGAAAAATGCTGTAGAATGATAACGGAGTCACCTGTTTTAGAAAAAGAAGTGCACAGTGTTAACACTTCAGTCAAGGGGCTGGGGAAGAAATTCCATGACTAGGAAGAAAGGACAATACTAATTAATACACTGCTTTCCAGATGTTGCTCTAGTGGGATTCAGTTGTCACAACCTTTTGATAATATCCACTGGGCTGTGTCTAACGCTGGCAAGTGTCTAAAGCTCACTAATCTTAGAGTGCAGGCAGTGCCTCCTTGCTCAAGAATGTGTGGAAGTTGTTTGAACTTCCTCCAGCCACCCATTTGCTAAAAACAGGAATAAGAGGGACTCAATGGAATGTCGCTGAATCACCCACTTCAGTGGTGCAAGCTCTAGGCAAAAGGCAGGGTGGTTCCTAAAAAAAGTAGCATGACTCTTGCTTGGCAAAAATGACTTAACAGAGTTTTATTCCTATAGCAAAATCCTCATCTTTTCTGTAAAGGTGCCTTCACCTACCTTGGCAGGATCACGTTGCTATAAAAACCAGGCTCAGAGATTGCAATTATGGAATATTTTTGTCAATACTGATTTTTCTACTTTATAAATGGGTTCTCCATAGTACACAACAGTAAAACTGTTGGGTGTTAATATGTAAAAAAAACCCACAACAATCCTAATATGTTCCAGAAAAATCAATGTTAGTATGTGTTGGTATGCTGGCTGGTAAAGATGAAGCAGTCTCTTGCATTTCTTCATGAAGAATAACAAGTTCTTTTATACTTAAAAAATTATCATTTTTGTGACACCAATAATTAATGCTACACAGTGTCAAAGTTACCTTTGCAATAAGTCTCTTCAGGGATGGGTATGGTCCTAAAGCATCCAGAAAAGGAGAAAATAAACTAGGAAAGCGAGTAGTAGATATTCCAACTCTGTATAAGTCTGTATTTGATAATCTGATGTTGTCTGGATACCCAGGCAGGTTGTCCACAAAAACTTCTTTTTTTCCTGCATTAGTTCCACTCAGCCAATAGCTGCAAAAAGGGAATTTTGTATATGAGTTAAGAGTGGCTGCTGCAGAACACAGCAAGCTTAACAGCATGGAAGCTCCATCATTTTGATCATGCAAAGAACTTTTCAAAATACAAAAAAAGGAGTCTGCAGCAGTAAATGCAAAAAGAGACTAAAACTTGAGTAACTATGATTGATCAGAAACCTCATCTGTCTACGTATAACAATAAAGGGTGCCCCCTCCATTCTATTTTAAAAAAAATCTATTGGTACAAAATATGCCTGTTAAAACTATTTAATTTGGATTAAAAAACTTCCATGAAATAAAAAAATTCTAGTGTTTTAAAACAAGGTGTTACGCTAATTAATCATCATCATCATGCAGTGACACTTGTCCTCTCAGGTCTGTTGCAACTGTAACAATGGGGTAATCCAGATAATTGTAATTGAGTATGAAGGAATTAGGGCCAAATATATCAGTAAATAGGTATAAAAAACATTTGGCAGAGGGAAGAGCAACTGCTACTCTCCACCTAGCATTAACTAAAACCTGTGTGTGACTCTTGCAATAGAAGTAATTTAGACCAAGTCTGCAGCAGCAACCCTGTGAACTGCACATCTTCAGTTCACATTTTTAACAAAGCCCAAAAAACAGAAAAGTGACAACATGAAAGCCATGGCTACAAATCGATTAAAAATGTGTAATACAACCTCGTATTTTATATCTAGGGGGATAATGATGGTTAGCATACCGTGTGATTCTGCATATGCTGGTTTCTGCTATTAGTATGTAATCTTCACAGGGAGATAGTGCAATCCCATTTGCCATGTACAAGCCGCTGAGCATCGTTCTTCCCGTCCTTGTTACAGGGTCATAGGCCAAGAGGCGACCAAGATGGTTTGTCTCAATTACCTTAATCAATACAGCTAATGAAAAACTAGGCTACCAAAATACCTGGTTTCAATTAGAACAAAAAGGATTCAGAAGTTGAGTTAACATTAATTAGATAAAAGCTGACCTTACAGACTGGCAGATGGCATCTTCATAAAAACAACAAGCTCGCACGACTGAAGGAGCAAAGGATTCTGCTCATGGCATTTCCCAGGCTGATCACAGCATTCTTGCAAAAATGGAGGAACGTGGGGGGTATAAAGCCCAGAGTTCAAAATACATTATGATGCAGTTCCTGCTTCAGCAAAATACCGAGGCCTATCTGGTTTCTGGGAACAACTACAGCTTCTTCAGATCAAACCAGAGAGCACTCATGGGTGTTTTGCAAGTAAACAGCTGACATTCTACTTCTGATATGAAATAACCTGAGGAAGTTTCCTCTGGTAAAAAGCCACAGGGTAGCTTTGAATTCTATACACATAAGCCCTCTGAAGAGGAAACTGTCTTTATGTTTGTCAGTTGTACTGGCAACCCCCTGTCAAGTCTGAAATGCTAAGTGACAAAGATGATGTCCCACCAAACAATAGTTCTGATAGTTTCAAGAAACAGCAAGCAACCCATAAGAGGTTTCAACTGTTCTCTTTTTTTCCTTTAATAACTTGGATGTTGATTCCCACCCCGTAAGCATATTTTCCTTCATGTGATTCCTTCCTTAATTTTCTCCACAGTTCTGGTAATAAAGACTTTACATAAACTTTACATCTGTGACCGCAATGAATTTCAGCTTTACAAACAGACAATGTGTTCTAAATAATGTTTTACACAAGGCTATGACTACAAAGAAAAGAGACTGCAAGCACACCAGCAATTTTCTACCGTGAATTTACTGCAGTATAAGAACATGCTTGTAGACAGATACCAGGGAGAAAGAACAGGCTCTAAAAATCCAGACTCTAGTGTATCACATGACAATTTCTCTGGGTAGTCATACCGAGAGGTTATGGATGGTTTGGGATTGCTTTTTTTTTTTTCAGAAAAGCAGCTACAGAATAGCACAGCCCATCCTCTGCCTCAGGGCTCTAACATTCAAACCATGCTTGGCTAAAACACAAGCTCAAAAAATCACGTCCCTTCTGCAGCCTGCTACACAGTGCTGCCAGCACAAAAATTAACAGTGAAGCTGCCTGAGCAAATGGCTACAAAGATCACCCCATCTCACCTCATATTTGTGATGTCGTCTTTCCCACTTGCTACTTGAATCCGTAAAATAAATTTTTCTTTGATATTTCTAATCCATTTAGGAACTTGAAAGGCAGCCCATCCACACCTGGTTAATGAAAATGACAACTGATTAAAATAAGCACAAAACCACCAAGTGTTCAAAATTATTCAGATCCACACAAGTTTAAGGTTTCAGACATTGCATTTCCAAATCTCAGAGTTAATACTACCCCTATTTTGTCCTAAGATCCAAATTACTTTAATTTGCATGGAAATATGTTTAGGTGGCAGCTGAATGTAACACATATTAAACACCTCTGACAAATACAATTGCTTTTATCTCCTTTTTATTTTTTAAACAACCTGAAAAATATAAAGCAAATGGGCTGTCAATCAGTCCTGATCCCCACACCCCACACTGATCTCAACTGATTAAAGTGCCTTGATATTCCAATTTATGCATAAGCATGAGGACCAAATCCAAGATCAATTTGCTTCCCCACTAACTGTAGCATCACCTTTTTCACTTGATAGCAGGAGGGTTTTCTCTCCTGTCCTTGGATTGACTCTGTACAGGCCTAAATAGGAATCCACCACAATCAAATTACCATCCTGACCCATTCGGAGTCCATGGGGCCGGCCACATACTGGTTCATAGTCTGGAGTTCCTGAGACACAAATAGGAGGATGTGTAAGACCAGGAAATTGATAAAATTAAGATCCTGCAATGCAAAGGCTGAAAAGCACTAAGCTATCATCTTTGAATAAACCAGACCCCTAAAAGCTTCCTTAAACTGTCTCTAACTTGCAAAGGAACTGAGAGCATAGCATTAGTCTAGTAATTTCTGTTCCTCATGACTTCAGAAAAAGATTGCTCCCAACCTTCAAAGAAATTCAGTTCTGTTTTCCCAGACAACTATAAAGATGACTGAAGAATTACTGATTACTAAATCAGTAAGCAAATGGATTAGCTGCTGTCTGGGTTATTTTACCAAGAAAGAGACTGCAGAAAACTGCTTTTAGGAAATATTTAACTAACCATTTCCCTTCAGCTGAGGGGCCCAACTTCCATGGGTCACATGAAGAGTCCTATACATAATCCTCAGGTAAAACTACAAAAACCAGATCTACCACATTTAGTATTTTTATAGTGAGTCATTTTTCCTGAGAGCAGTGACATTAGCAAAGCTTGGCACCCTGAGGTTTTGTGACCTAATGCCCTCTACTCCGCAATATGTATTTTCCCCCAGTTCTCCAGTAAGCAAGGGACAACATCCCTAAGCGTTCACTGCAGCTGTTAACAGCTCAGTAACACAAGGTGACTGACTCACAGCTGCCACAAAGTTAACACCCGACTTCAGTTCTGACTCTGAATGGATCAATCACTTTGAAGTCATTTCCAAAGGTTTCTTAAATTCCACATAGTCAAGTATTTACATAAGACTCAAAAAAAGTTCAGTCATCTTTGATAATTCTTTCAAACTCAGCTGAAACTAGCCCATAGCACAAAGGCCTTGGGGACAGGGAAAGCAACTGTACAGCTGTCACATTTTCAGGAAATGAGGCTAAAGCCAGTCAGCTATTTTAATGGCCTTTCAGGCCTGCTTGATCCATCAGAAAAGAAACAGGGTAAAAACCAACATTCCAGTGTTCACCTTCCTCATTTACAAGTAAGTAAGGAAAATGCAACCCTGCAGTCCACCTACTGGTGATGGTATCAGGACATGCTATTCTAAGGCTCTGATTCCTTGTAGGATTTGGAGTTTCTAGAACACATTTTTATCTCAAGGCAGGAAAATAATTGGATAAAATGCCTTTAGTCCACCCCCAAAAAGCTTTGTCTAGAAGGACTTCCATAAAATGCTGTTCCTTACTAAAATGGCAATCCAATGGCCATCCAGTCTCAAGGGCTAGGGAAGTGTGCTGTTATGCCTTAATCCTACCTACCTCAGGGAAAAGCTACAGGATAATGGTAGGCTTCTCTTACCAATTTCCATGAAAGACCCAGAAAATGTTAACAACAGCTAAAAGAGCACTTCAGTTTCTCTTTCAGTGACATGTATATGAACAAGTTTGTTGTAATCTTCACATCAAAACCCATCACTTACCACATTCAGGCACATCTTGCCCCATCTGAGTAATGAAATGCAGCTGGTCACCACTGATCATCCACAGTTTCCCATCCACAGTACCAGTGTAGATATTACCTTAAAGTATATTAGAAGACTATTTTAAAACAGACCAAGGCAAATAAAACTTGCTGTAACAGAAGGATATTTCTCATTACTGTAAGCCCTTCCTTCTTGCTCCTAATTCATATATTCTATGCACCCACAAAACAACAAAACAGACAGGAAACAATACCATTAATTTTAAATATGTTTTCATAAAACAGAAAGAGCAATAATACATTGGAGAGTAGAAAAAAAGTGAGTTGTTCAGATGTTTATTTTAAATAAACATAATACATTGAAACCTGTCTTAAGACTCCTCTGGGTTAGCAGCAAACCAAGGCATCAAGAATGGGCCTGAAGATTCACAGGGACATTCTCATACTGTCAATAAAAACCAGTGAAAGCATTAACTGAGCTGACAGGATCTACCTTTTTGTCCTGAGGGTTCTGCCATGTTACCAGCTAACTGCAATGTTCAGTAGATGAAAGGAAAACATTAAATTGATTGATGCAAACCAAGAAAGTAACCCTTCTCCTAGGACATTAAAATCCTAAGAAAAAAAAAAAAAAAAAAAAAGACAACAAAAACAACCCACAAGTGTGTGGGGTTTTTAAACTGTGATTATTTTGCTTTGGTTTTGAACTACCAGAATAACATCAAAACGTTGCAAGTTTGTAGTAAAGGACTAAGCACTTTTTTAATTGGATACCTGCTTAGCAGTTGCTTCCTCCTCTGCTTTTCAAGTATTGAAATTAACAAAAAAAAACCCTCACAGCTGGTCTTCAAACCTTTTGACATTATATTGTCACTCCAAAAACTTCTGTGTAGAGTATCAAAGGGAAAACACTACCAGAGATTAAGCCTCGCCTTTGAAAAACAGCATCTTCTACCTTTTGATCAGTCCAGGCTCACATGACCCATCCTACACTTCTGTTCAATAAAATACACTTTTAGTGTAAAGCCTGGGTTCACTGCCTGGAAATATTCCTCTGATTTGTCCTTTATTTACAAAGATTTAACTAATATAGACATTATTTTCTTTACCTGTGACCTGCATTTTCACCCTAGCCTTGCTTACATTTAAAAAATGTGCAGTCACTTATTGACAGGAATTAAAAGATAATCCATAAAATTTATGCTACCTTTCTGTGTCAGTATTACTAAAAAAACACGGATTTTTACTTTGTCTAATGAACACTTACACCACAGCAGACAAAAGTATAAAAATGTCTAGCATCTGCTCAGTCAAATCTATGGAAAAATGTTATGAGCAAATAGGGAAGATTCTCAAAGTATCAGCTGTCAGATCTAGATTAAAATAATTGGCTAGGATTCCTGGCATACAGAAAACACCTGTTTATCCAAAGGGAAAACTTCAGAGCCACTGCTCAATACATCTTTGCCTGGGAAAAAACAGAGTGTGAACTCTGCTGTCATGAGATAACCTGGCATTCTTAAGCCTCCCGAGACATGTTGGAAACAGCTGAAATTCCTGATCACATACCAGATTCTGTTTAAAGAGAAATCTTAGACTAGTAATGCTATTTTCTATCATGCTATGCACTAAGGCTGTGATACTATATTTAGATTCATCTAGCTAGTGCAAGTGAGTTTTGCAGTAGAGATCTCTTCTGGGTATTTGCAGTAAAGGCAAAACAGAACTACTCCAATTACCCCTACTATCCTTTATTATTCATATGGAAAGCAGCATTTACTTAAATGAGGCAGCATCACCACAACATGGTATTACAACCTGTCATCCTGTATGACTTCAACTGACTGAATCCAGTCTCCTAAAAAACCCCTTACATTCAGGGAAGACACATGGTAGCATTAAAACACTCAAGAAAAATAGAACCAAAACAGTCCTTGATACAGCATCATGAAAGAGGTTAGCTTTGACAACTCAAGGCATTTGCAGGATTAGTCCTCATATTTAAAATATCCTCTGCAAAATATCCAGTAGTGAACATTATCCTTCATGAAACTTGTAGAGGAAGAGATAGGAGAACAAGAAGTGTGACAAAAAGACAATTTAAAACAGCACCTTTCAGGAAAGCAGGAAGGAAACAGCTTTGAGAAGACACTTGGAAGGAGTGAGTGCCTCAGTGCAAGGTGCTGAGCTAGGTCCCTACCAGGCCTAAGCTACAATGACTGAAAACACTTCCAATTTCACTTTGCAGAGCAGCAACCAAGAAGGCTGCAGATGATTGCCTCTCACCTCTGCAGCACAAAGCACTGTGCAGTATGTTTCAAACATATCCTGGGGTATTCAGTATTTCCTTGAGAAATGCCATAAAACTAACCCCAGCAGTGAGGGAGGGATGGAGGGAGTCTGAACTGCCTGGCTCAAGCTGCTCTGGACTGGGGGTTGTGTGCTTCTTCACACTGGCTAATGCAGGAATCCATTTTATCCACTTACACATCGAGAGGAAAGTAATTCCTCCAGAACAGGCAAGTCCTTTGTCCACAGCACTAAACCTGTGTCCTAAGGGGAAGATCACAGTGTCTCTCCTGTCTTTGGCTTGGGCTTTCATTGCAGTCCCCACTTCAGTCACACTCTGAGTAAGAGAGTTGTTGGAAAGATGCAAAACGTGCTACTGGAGACTGGTTCAGCCCCCTCTGCTTCCCACCATCTGCAAGGCTCCTGCATTTTGCCACCTCACAGCTGCCAGACAACTAAGGTGAATCACGAGGATAGGTTAGAGGAGGTTTTAAACTGCAGTGAGAATTTATTTTGTATTCCAAGCTGTTCTAAAAAATGTGGTTTTGAGAAATATGCACATTTAAAAACAACTCAATTTGCCTTCTCTCTTTGGCTCTGTGTTCAGCAACACCTTTTGATATGAGTGTGCTTGGTGACTGAGCCCAAGCAGCAAATTAACACTGCTTCTGGAGACCTGGAACTGAAAAAAACACAACACCAACACCACCACCAACAAAAACCCAACAAACAAGGCAAAACTTGTAACTAGTTCCCTGTCAAAAGCCCAAGCTTAGACTCCCATTTGGAAAAATTCCTACAAAAACTTTAAAATCTTCAGCTAGTCTTGCATGTCACTTTTAAAGAACATTCCATTTTATACATTTTTTAAATTATGTTTTAAGAAGACTTCCATATTAGCAATTTGTGGGGCTGTGTTTCTGAATACAGCAGTAAGACTTTTGCTGCATCCTTGGAAGCAGTAGGTAACAAAATGTTCTGGAACATTTCCAAGGAAATGCTTACAAATGTGAAGATACAGAAGAACATACAGTTATCTTAATATTTTTTGAGCAATCATTTAGTATGTATTCATGTTTTTCTTTCTTTGGATTTAACTTAGTAATTCTTCCCTTTTAATAACTTGACCAAGCAGAGTTTTCAGATGTGTAACATGTAGCAGATGCTCACTTTACCCATTTGGAAGTTTTCTACTTGCCTTCATCATCAACAGTAAAAGACTCAGGACCTTTCAGTTGTCCTGTGAAGATTCTCCGTCCGCTCTGAATCTTTTTATTCACTTGCAATGATCCAACTAAGGCAGGTGGCTTTTCAAAACTGCACCAAATGAATTATAAATAGGATATAAGAAACAAAACAACATTGGACTACACAATTATTTGAAGGAAAGTAATAGGACTTTATTCCAGAGGTACTAGTAACAAAATCTTTATTTAAAGAACTCGCTAAAACTATTGGTATTTAATAAAACTACTACTTCAACTAAATTAACAATTCTGTGGAGATTGCAGGCTGAGGCTAAAAAGAACACAGACTTTAAAGAGGCTTTTTTTTCTTGGCATCAATACAAGCACAAAATTGCCATCATCCTGGCAAGTTTTATTCTCTATCACTACTCTGAGATCTAATAATAACCTCTCCGCACGTAGGTAGGAACACTGCAGCGCAGTAACATTCACTTGTTTCAAAAAGTGTTTCTATCTTCCAGTTTTATATGAGAAGCACAGTTTCTCCTGCTTACGAGCTCAAGCTGCATGCTCTGTATGCTCCTGCAGGAGGAGAAGTGTAGGAGAAGTTCTGCAAGCAGACGTGTTACCCAACAGACGGAAGTACACAGTGAACCTAAAAACTAATGAAAGGAACGTACATGAACGGCTCTGGGTCAATAGGAGATGGCAAAAAGTAAACGCCAGCAAAAGCCACAAGGACTGCAACTGGAAACCCCCACGGTGGGAACCTGGAAGAAAAACAAACCACACCACAACTGCACAAAAACAAACGCTCCTGCACGCCCAGGAGGAGGCCGGGAGGGGAGAAAGAGGGGTAAACTTTTGTGCAAAAGTGGAAGAATTCCGGCACTAAAAACGAAGCCCGAAGGAGGACACGGCAGGCTGCACCCCTGGGGGTCCCTGGGGCCCCGCAGGAACCGCCCGACGTGGCGGC